GTGCCGTTCGCATTTTTATTGACATTTTTAATATTAAATACTCGCTACAACTATGTATACATGATGCAATAATGAAAGGTGTTATACGTTGGCAACTTCTCGCTCTAATCCGCCATCTTGAACTACCTTAGGAGAAACTGTGTTGTTTCTTTGCTAATTTCACTGAACATTTCCCAAAATATTAGAAAAAAATTCTAAACAAGCCACATTGATTCAATTTTCGTTGCTCGTTTTGTTCTTATTCGCTGACATTTGTTTTCTAATTGCTTGAAATTTGGTAAGTATTGTAATAAAACCGAATTATTTTACAAATTAATTATAATTTTGCATTTATTAGGTAATTTCCTTAGTGTTTTCCTGGCCGACCTGTGCTGGTATTGTAATTAAGAGCTAATACACGTAAGTTACAACATATTATTTTGACTTCATTGATGAAACATTCCATTTGCAGCATTCTCTGGTGAACTGCAGCTGCGGCCGAATTTGATTGTGTGCATCATCCTGCAGATATTTTGAAGTAAGTTGGAACCAGCTCTTTGTTATTTCAAAACCTAATGAACCATTTATTTGCAGATTCTGCTGTGCTGCGTTCCTGCTCCGCCCGTGTATTGCTCCGCCCGTGTTTTATAGTGTTGCGTCCCAGTTGCGCCTTTGCATTAGTGTGTGCGTTGTGCTTTAGACACGTTGAAGTAAGTTGAAACCAGGTTTTTGTTTGTTAAAAACCTAAAAAGCCATTCATTTGCAGATTGTTTGTATGCTTCTGCTGTGCTGCGTTACTGCTTCACCCGTGTATTAAATTGCAGCGTTCCTGTTAATATAAGCATCGTCGTTTAAGTAGTTACAAAACCGCGTAACTGACATTTGCTGCTAAAAATTGGATTTGCTCACACAAGTTCTTGGCTCAATCCTTATCCATTCTTCCTGATACATACTAGCCAAAAATGCGATTGCTTTTTAAAAAAAGATAAAAAAATCAAAGGTAATTTTTAGCCACTTCAAACTTGCATATAATAAGACTAAAATTGAAGGGGCTATAAAACTGAGTGCTCAAAAAATTCTAAGACTTCTGAGAAAAAAAATGTGAATTTTGGGTGAAAATTTGTTGTATTTTTTGTAGTTTTCTACGAAGTTTTAAAATTCGGTTCTTATGGGTTTTGTTACAAATTGAACTTTATTTTTATTGTAAATTCTTAGAAATAAATTAACATGAGAGGGAAATAATATCACTTTGAAATAGGGTTGCTATTGATATGACCGATACTGTATGTATATAATAAATTTTGTACAATTAAAAATCAAAGTGGATTTACTAAAATGAACACAACGTATTAATTATAAATTCTGAAATATATTATTAATTTCAAAAACAAATAAATAATTTGGATGTACGTGAACTTGGGTAATGTATGTATAATTGTTTATATGATTCCTCAAAGTATCCCTTATATAACACTGTGGAACACAACAAAACCTTAGTGCGAATATATCAGGTTTGATAGCTGTTGGCATACCAATAATGCCTCATACTCAGATTTACTAGATCAATTCGTGTTCTCCGAGAAAAAAATTTTCACGATCCAAAAATCTGAAAAATCTTTTTTCTCCAAATTTTGAACATTTATCGTTTTTGGCCTATATTTTATGGTAAATACCATACAAAGCAAATATAGGCCAAAAACGAAGAATTTTCAAAATTTTTAGAAAAGAATTTGGCCGCTATACTCAGATTTTTGAATCGTGACATTTTTTTTCTCGAGAACACGAATTGATCTAGTAAAACTGAGCATGAGGCATTATTGGTATGGTCAACAGCTATGAAACCTGATATATGCGCACAAGAAGGTCATATGAAAGAGGGGGACAAAAGATCACACGTAAATTAATTCCTCTATTTGGCCTGTACAATATAAGGGAAACATTTCAAATTCACAAGGGATAATTTTCTTAGTGATGCGGCTTATATAAGGAGTTATATATGCCATACTGTTCTAGCTGGGTATTCATCAGCTCAAAAATTTTAAGCATATTATCATATTCCTGTGAATAAAAACACGCCTTATTATATTATTTTAATTATCTACAACTTTATGAGACTACCAAGCCATATGTGTACCTATTCAGATAATCGGAACGCTGTTGAGAAGGCATAAAATTTAGTACTTTTTCAACTAAAGGGCTTTTTTTCTTCCCGTTTTTCTTGTACTTCCAAAATACAATATTGACCTAAGGTAGTTCGATTTCGAGCTGTCACAACGTACAACACCTTTCATTATTGCATCATGCTATGTATATACATATGTGTGTACATTAGACTGCATCAGTCCCCATACAAAAAAAAAAAATCGGTATATTTTAAGACGTCCACCAAAATATTTCGGAAAAATATTAAGATTTATGTGAGCTGGACCGATTTCAAAATACCTCTAATAATTAGGTTTTTTATGAATAAAAATAGTTTCCTCAAGATGTTTTTTGCACAAATCCGCTAAAACGACAAAATAGTTTAAGCTTAAAAAACCTAAATATAAATTAAAAAAAAACAAGTAAGAAAGTCTAAGTTCGGGCGGAGCCGAACATTAAATACCCGGCGCAAGTATTAAATATATGTTTTCCACCTTTCCGAAAGCTACCGCTACATGATAAGCCGGGGTGTATACATTTTAAGTAAATTAGCGTCCTTAAATTTCGAAATATTGAAATTTCAAGCATTTTTGAAATTTACCGTTATATGAAAAGCGGCCTCAATTTTAGTCCGATTTCAACAATTTTCAACGGTTTGCTTTTATGTGGCAAGCACAATAACCATACCGAGCTTGGTACAAATTGCTAGAACGGCTAGCGAGATACATATCACAAGTGGGCGGTGCTACGCCCATTTTCCAAAATTTTGTCATAAACGTATTTCTTGGTAAAGAATTGTTGCAACCATCAATTTTGAATAAATTAGCTTCAATATTTACTGATTTATCGAAGATTTTGTATTTCTCGAAATTACCGTTATATGGGATGTGGGCGTGGTTATTGTCCGATTTTAGAAATTTTCGGTATGTTGTACCAGGACCAACAACTGTGCCAAGTTTGGAAGAAATTGGTGTAGCGGTTACCAAGATATACACATGTAACCATAAGTGGGCGTGGCTACGCCCATTTGCCAAAATTTTGTAATATTCTTATTTTTCGTCTAAAACTTATTATAAATATCAATTTTGAGTGAATAATCTCCAGTAGTTACTAAAATAGCGCAGTTTTCGTATTTCTGAAAATTACCGTTATATGGGAAGTAGGCGTGGTTATTGAGCGATTTTAAAAATTTTCGGCCATTTGGTATGTTATGCGAAGGCCAACAACTGTGCCAAGTTTGGAAGAAATTGGTGAAGCGGTTACCAAGATATACACATGTAACCATAAGTGGGCGTGGCTACGCCCATTTTCCAAAAATTTACAATATTCTTATTTTTCGTCTAAAAATTATTGTAAATATCAATTTTGAGTGAATTATCTTCAGTAGTTACTAAAATATCGCAGTTTTCGTATTTCTGGAAATTACCGTTATATGGGAAGTGGGCGTGGTTAAAGTCCGATTTCGCCCATTTTCAATACCAACCTACCTTGGATTAAGGGAAACCTACATACCAAATTTCGTTGAGATATCTCAATTTTTGCTCGAGTTATCGTGTACACGGACAGACGGACAGACGGACAGACGGAC